TGATTAAGGAATTAATGGAAAAATTCAAAATTAAATGGAATTTTTCTACAAGTTATCATCCAGAGACAAAAGGACTTGTTGAAAGATTCAACCGAACATTAGGTCAAGCATTAGCAAAATTATCAACCAAAGATGATTGGGATCAAAGGATAGCACCCATATTATTTGCTTACCGAAATAAAAAGCATAGTTCAACAAGAATTCGACCATTTTATTTAACATACGGAAGAAATGTACGGACAATAATGGATGAAAATATCAAAGAAATTAACCTAAGTGATAGAATAGTTGGATTATTAGAAGAACTACCAAAAATCCGACATGAAGCCAAAGAACAAATACTGAAATCTCAAACAAAACAAAAAGAGTATCATGACAGAAAAATAAACAAAGAACACACCTTTGGAATTGGAGATAAAATACTACTCTATGATAAAGCCAAAGCACAACAACTATCAGGAAAATTAGAATCAAAATGGTTGGGACCATTTTACATTCATGAAATACTACCGAATGGAGCTTATAGAATTAAAAATATTAAAGGTGTCATCAAGAAGATACCTGTAAATGGAGAAATATTAAAGACTTACAATACACCGATGAGTAAATGATAACTATCATCAATGGACTTAGAAAAATAAAGATAATAAATAATCATGTGAAATAAAATCACATGACATAAAAATAATTTTAGAAAATAGGAAAAACTAATGAAAATTTCCTAAGAAAGACCGAAGTGAAATCCGGTACAGGAAAACCGTAGACTTAACAAACACATGATAAACCGCAGATGTGGACGCAGCAAAAAGGAATATTTAAAACGCAGCTGAGTCAAGTGACAATGCATGATTGATTTAGTGGTATAATTCGCACCTACCACTTCGAGACACGAGTTCGATTCTTAGAATAAATTTAATGTGGGCATTAAATTTTTATGCGGGGGATAGTTGTAATGCCGTAGTATATCTAGTAAATTTATTAATTGTGAGGCGCAGTATTACATTTAGTCTTAGTGTATAAAATTTTAACTTATTTTTATTTTTATTTTAAATTGGACCGAGAAGTCGTTAAACTAATAATCACATGGATTAAGGTAATTGGTCCGTGATGACCTTAAACTATTAGTCACGGGATTTAAGGATAAATGAAGATCCGAAAGATACTAAACTGAATGAAATCAAGTGATCTGAGGTGTCAAGTGATTAATTTGTTGATCACTACGTTAATATTATAAATCATAATTAAGGAGTTAATGATGATCAAATGGATACAAAATTAAGATAATGGAAATACTTTAAAACAATGGAAATACTTTAATAATTTAAATCCATGAATCGAAATTATGAATTTAGTTACACAAAAAACAAACATAAAAGGGCGTGAAGATCAACTTTTGGGAAGGAGAGAAAATTAGACGAATTTTGTTATGAGTTATTTATTTTGTTATTTAATGTTATTAAACCAAGCATATTATTGTATTTATTTATATTATTAATAAAGAGTCATTTTGTTAATACCTGAGGTGGCAAACATAATTCTCTATGGGCTCAGGTGTTACACCGGCCCAAACCCGGATCCGGGTCCGGGCCGGGTTAGGGTTTCCGGGTTCCGGGTCCCGTTTGCAGACCTCTAACGTGTGGATTTGGTGGGTACCAGAATATTTTTTTGATTTATTTCTTTTAATGAAACATCTTACTTTCCAACTCTTTCCTTTAAGGTGTCATGGTAAATGATATTATATTAGTATTATATTTATTAAGGATCAAACTCAAGTTTAATAAAGAACATATTAAAAGAAATCACATCCAACTCTACAAGCTGATTCTACCGAAGATCAACAATTTCTACCTCATGAGTTTATGACCAGATATTTGGACGTAGATTTTGGTGGGTAATGGAATTTTCTTTGAATTTGTTTCTTTAATGAAATGTCATATTAATGTTTCAATGTTTCTTTTTTTCCCCTAAGTGACGTAATCTTTGGATATGTGGGGACTTTTTTTATTATGTTTATTTATATTTTGTACGAATCCAGCTTTGACTTAGGAATACCGAACGGATCTTTGAGCCTTGGCTCTTTGATCCTACTTTTTTTTTGTTGAGAGGACTAGAAAACCCACCTGACTTCACTTGATAAATGTTAAGCAAATCTCCATGCAAATTGGTAAATAGAGGACCGAAGTTGATCTATTTTTCTTACATGATATCTTCCATGATTTGACCTTGAACATTGAACGAAGTACATCGGATACTTCATGGAGGTTGAAAATGGGCAAGTTCAAGCAATTCCACAATTGACCCGTTGTTGATTTTTCCAGTCCTTGTCTTATTTAGTGATGGCATTTATTTTCAATTGGGTGAAGTTTTTATATTAGTGGAATAACACTAGATTATCAGTAAGTATTGTAAGTTACAATTTACAAACGATAAATATTTATCTATTAGAAGTTAGTTACAGTGTATTTAGTTTTAGTTATATGCATTTTTTTCAATACTGTCTAATATATTTACTAAAACTTTACAATTTCAAAAAGAACAATAACTTAAATATTTAAGAATGCTTTACTATTTATTTATGATTTGTTTATAAATTTGATACGATTTCGATAGTACATTTTTACGATTTTTGTTGCAATTTTGGTAATTAATTTTGCACGATTCGATCAAGTCAGGTGGTGATCACCTTAATATTCAGTAACTTCTTACAGGCGACTTTCGAAATTAAAGTGTGATGGTATAAAACTAATCGTGTCCAAATCGGTATTACACCACTGTGATTATCTTCTTGCACAAATTAATGGTAGTCAAGAAATATTAAAAAGTATTTGAATTCCCTTAAACTTAAATTCACGAATACGGAAATAATTCTTCGCATTATTTGATAAATAATCTATTAAATCAGCTGCTCTGGCAATGCCAAATATTCCTCATTGAACTTTGTTATAAAACAGACTCAGTTGCGTGGTAAAACACGTGTAGTAGTCGTGTACGCAATTGATGAGGCCAATGTAACTGCTAAACTTCTCTGGTAAATTTCTCAATCGTCGCAATAAAATACGTGATCCACTAACACCATTGGTAATGTTTCTTTGTAATTGCCGGTACTTCCTTTTCACTTAGTACATCTCAAATAATTTACTGACGTTTTAATTATAATTTTATAACACAAACATAATTTAAATTGCACAAATTTTTTTCCGTGAATAATTTTTTTTAAGTAATAAAATAAATTTGTGGATAATTTTTTTCTTTCACTAAAATAAACATAAAATTTGTTTTTTTATAAACGAAATTTTTTCTAATAAAATACTTTTAAAATAAATATAACAAGATAATCTTGGAGCGTTTAACTTTACCAAATGATATTTATCTTTAGAATATCAGAAAAAATCTTAGTTGAATTCCTTTCAAAAATGTTATATTACTACATGTATTTGCAAATAAGAACATGATCAGTAAAATTGCGCTACGCTCAAAATATCACAGTTACTTGGCACTTTGTGCCGAGTAACTATTAAACAATTGTAAAGGTATAATTAGAAAAAATATTATGTCTACAGTGAACTGGAACCTCTACTGGACCTTCTCATTTAAATATGGCTGCTAGAACATACGATAATTGAAATGTTTTATCAGAAATTCACGTGATTTACGTGATATCTGCACTTGATTTCATATAATTAATTGTATGTATATTTTTAAAGGTGAAGGATGATCTTTCAATCTTCATGCGGTAATACATTATACATCGGTTGATTACGGGTAGGGAAAAAATAACCAAAAGAAAAACTGATTTTTTGTGTAATAATTAATGTGAAAATAGTTTATATACAATACACCGGGGAATACAATTCCGTAAATACCCAGTAAATAGTTTTTGTATAAATTTGTACCAAATGGGCTCATCCATATATAATTGGCTCTAGATTGGCTTAAATTTGGATTATTTATTGCATAAATTTGAGCTAATTTCGAGCCAATGAGCCCGTTTGATATAAATTTATACAAAAACTATTTACTGGGAAACCAACCAAATATGGTGAGCTCAGCTGCCGACAAATTAGAAATGTTGATCGTACAACAAGCCTAATACTAAAACGTGTTTATTAAATATATATATATATTTTTGCCTTCGGAATAAGATCCCGAATACTATTCATTTTTTTTTTTTTTTTATAGTTTAAACTTTGAAATGCAGAATCCCAGTAAATAGTTTTTGTATAAATTTATACCAAACGGGCTCATTGGCTCGAAATTAGCTCAAATTTATGCAAAAAATGATCCAAATTTAAGCCGATCTAGAGCCAATTATATATGGATGAGCACTGGGAATTCGATTTTGGTATTCTTAAGAAAGCAACGTCTAAATTATAATGTTAGATCGAATTCCAAAAAAAAGTGTGAAACAAATAAAAAACTTAATAAAAAAATTATAAAAGGATTGAATCTCCTAGCAAATTCAAAATAAAAATTGAAATATGTTTTTTTTAAAAAGAATTCTCCTATAATTAATAGTCACCAAAACTACCTTTAAATAATTTTTAAAATGAATCATATTAATAATATCAATGTGTTTTGCGATAGCTTTCGGGAAGGGAATATGATCCTTTACAAACATTATGACGACGATAACAGCACGGTATTTCGATTTCGAAACAGGCATACGGTAGGGCGTGGAATCGGTGGGTTTGGCACATTGGGTTTTCTTCCCAAGATTGATGTCTCTAATATCTACGCTATAGTCATAAAATTTCAAGATAGAAACGTAGAAGAAGCATGCAAATTATTAGAAAATTGTGAAATTCCCGCTCAACAAATGATTCAAGATAATAAAAAGTCAGTTAAAGGTGAAATTTTTATCAACTTTCTTAAACAAATGGAATTTTACGTGTCAAGAGAGGAGCATACCTTTTTTACGTCATATTTGGTAACTATTAAAAAGTCTCCTGATGATGAACCAAGACACGAATCCTTGGAAATATTGTATCATGATAAAATTAAAACGGAATTAGGCTTAGATAGTCTTGGTACTTCTAGTGCCACATTTGCGCGAACTTATCTTATAAAAGTTCTTAGCAATTATGTAGTTAATATGTAATCTTAATATAATTACATTTTTATATACAATAAACCGTTTTTAAATTAATAAAAATATATTTACATTTAGTTCGTTAAACCCTTTTTTAAATTGTAAATATATTTACATTAGTTGTATAGTTCATATTATTTGAGTTAAACCCTTTTTTTTTCATTATTAAATATTACTTGATGAAGAACTTCTTAGATATAGTATAGATTAGACTTTATCATACAGTATAATAATTACAAAGAAAGTTATAATTTCATTTGGATGTACTCATGAAATATATTGTAGACTTTAGTTTAAGTGGCATTAGACAACTTTTTCATTACCGTGAAAATTTATATTTAAAGTTATAAAATATGTATCTGACATTTAAAGACATACTATAGTTAAAGAATAATAAAAAAAATTAACCCTTCTCTAAATATTACATACCCACCAACCTACATAAAATTATTGTTTAGTAAATATACTTGAATAAATAAAAACAAAACCATCCACATCTTCTAATACATAACTTACTCCATATTTAAAATTAGAGATGCACCTACAGTTTACAAAGAATTGAAAGAATGTTAGTAACTTTCTTAAATAAAGAAAGCACACGCGCGTTTTTATAAATACATACCAAAATTATATTTAAAATCCAAAGGAGGGACCTACAAAAAAAATTCTCCCCATCCTCAAACATACTCACTTTTAGATAAATAGACCTCAAATACTCACTGAAATTCACGCCAGCGGCCCAGGGGGCGTTCTAGAGAAAAAAAAATTGAAGAGACGTTAGAAACAAGAAAAAGTACCTCTTTCTTCGCTTACACTTACAAATCCAGGTATCCAAGATGCGTCCAAGTGCAGCCTAAAGAAAAAAAATGAAAGAACGTTAGAAGCGTTCCTAAAAAAAATAACTAACTTAAATGTCCAAGTCCAGTAAAGTGTCATAAGCTAAGGGCATCAGGGATTTTTTCCAGATTTATAATGTAATACACCGGTACTGCGGATTGCATAGATCAGTTTCGACTTACCATTTTTTTTTAAAACTGTTTTAAACCATTTATTAAAATCTTTTTCAAAATCTTTGTACAGTATATTGATTTTTTTGATTTTGTATAATTTATCAGGGAGACGAAAATAAAACTAAGAATATAAAAAAAATAGTTGAATAAAAAAATGAATAAAAAAATTTCATTGTAGTATATCTCTATTGAAATAATTGATAATTCAATATATGAAAGTCCAACTGAAATTCATCAAAATGTACGATCAATACCTATTTCCCAATATCATCAATTAATTAATAATGATGTCTTGGATCTATCAAGTACTTTATGTATTCACCAAATCAGGCATTTTTTGCCGTAAATCTAAGTCATTATTGATTTCGACCGTCAAAAGTAATCGCTGGTTAAAACATAATGTGACCGAGCCAGAATTTTATCAAGTACTTACGTATTAGTACGTATTAGATCGGTAGCAGATCGCAGAGATTGGGAACTTCGATGATAATAAAATTACAAGATCAAGATTTGTTTATATATTTTACTATATTGTTTCATAAAGGAACTAATGACTCATAAAATCTTGAATCTTGATGAAAAAAACATCTTTTTTTCTAAAAAAAAGTTAAAAAAAGTAAAAAAAAGTAAAAAAAAAAATTAAAATATAGTTAATTAATTATGATTATCGCTGTTTTCAAATTAGTGAGACCCCCTGCATGTCACCCACTAAGGAAATCAGTTTTCGCAAATGTGGAAACCCCAGAATTTTTCTGAATAACTTTGTAGAAAAGGTCCGATTGCTAGTGATTTCTGGAGGAAATCTCAGGAAATTCTCAATTATTCAAATAGTTTGCTTATAAGTGAGTGATAAAACTTTGTGTAACATAAACACTTTTTTATAAGCAAACTACCTTTATAATTGAAAATTTCGCAAGATTTCCTCTGGAAATCACTAATAATTGACCTTTTCCTACATAGTTATTCAGAAAAATTCTGGGTTTTCACAAATTTTTGAAAATCGATTTCCTTAGGGGGTGACATACAGGGGGTCCCACTAATTTGAAAACAGCGATAATATTTATAGGGGTATATTGATCGTGAATCACATTTATTACATCGATCTATTCCTAATTTTCTAATGTATTGATTAGATCTGGAAACTTGTAATATGAATCTTTTTTAACTACAAAACTACCATCAAATTAAAAAAACTTTTTTAAGCGTAATATCACTACAGAATCATTTCTCCTATCATTAATCAGTTATAAAGATTTATTTCATAAAGGAAATAAAATCTTGAATCTTGATAAAAAAAAAATTTGATAAAAAAAAAAAATCTCAATTTTTTTTTTAAAATTTATCAAAGACTTCGATTAATAATCGTATCCGCAGTGTCACTTCAGAAAAATATTGGTTCATTTATCATAAAGATTTTTTTTTTATTTATTTCCAATACAATAAGTTTAATAGAATATATGTTCACGATCTTAAAGGACAAAAAAATAATAAATTTAAGAATTTTATCTACTAAAATTCTCCAGCGCTAAATTTATTTGATTATTAACCAGTTTACTGACGAAAATAAAGAATTGAATTATATAAATATGTCGCTATTCACGGGCTCTAAATATAAAAAAATTTGATGATTGTTATATTAAACATTAAGCATTACTATTTAATTTTACAAATGAAAAAAAAATTATTTTTAATTTAAACGAAAAAAACTTTTTATTAAAGATATGTAATAAGCATCACTTTCACAAAATAAAAATATTTTTATAATAATTAATTCAATTTACAGCTTGGAATAAAATATAATATATATACTAATACATATCTTTTAAAAAGGTTTATATAATAAATTTAGTAATATCGTACTAGTTATTTTATATGATATCAAGGCTCTCGAAACTTGAGAGTTGAGACACTGAAAGATTTTTTTTCTAGAAAATATTGCATCTGTTGAAACAAGTAACACTCAATCTATGGAAACAACGATAAATAATCCCATAATATTATTTATTAATTAAAGTATTTAATGTCATTAACGATAACGTACATCCGAAATGAAATTGGAATTACGCCTGTTAAAAAAAGAGAAACATTAGATAACGTTTCTTATAAAAAAAAGAAAATAAATAAATAAAAAATTTAAGTTTCGCAACGTCTTGTATTGAATTCAGTTACATAGTCGTTATATAATAGTATCTTCACTTAATACTTTATTATGGAAACATTAAATGTAATTACAGAGCATAAATAATCATATTCTTTAATTTATTCAAGTAACAATCATATTAAGTTAAAGATTTCAGATTACTACGGAGTTCCTTTATTATAGTTATGAAGAATAAAAGAACGGTAATTAACGATATACATAAAGTGAAAAGTATTTTATAATTTTGACATCTATTCCCATCACTAATAACGCTGATAAATAGCGTGTCTTGCATTCTTACGCTTTTAATTTTTTATAATAATTATGAAAATGAACGAAAAAATTGTTTTGTCGTATTTTAGAAAAATAAAGTTAAATTATTCGTATCAAGAGAGGGGAAAAAGTCGAAGTGGAAATATAATGCGTAAATATCCGATTCAAAATAACGTAAAAATTAGTATTTCACAATGACTTAACATCAGGGATATATTTGTCAAATTATTCGACTCTCGAAATTTCTAATAAATTATATCATAATAATGCGATGCAGTTTACAAGTTATAAATAAGATGAAGATTATTCCGGAATTATAATATTATACTATTGTAACAAAAGAAACAATGTAATGTGAGAAATTACCATGATAGTGTCTTGTTATATAAAAATTTATTGTTATACACTAATAATAAAAAATAGAGTAAACTTATTAAATTGGTTAAAGGAAAAAAATTACGTGCGATTTGTAAAATAAGTATTAAAAATTTGATCTGAGAATTTAATAAAAAATTCTATCTTAACGTACTTAGGCAACTTGGCGTCACGTGTAAGACCTTGTGAGGTAAAAGATTTTTTTATGCGCAATAAAAAATAAATAATTAAACGGTAATAGTAACATTAATTTAATTTAGTAATTGAAAATATTTAATAATAATATTATAAATAATAATTGATAAAAATATTATTAAACTTCTTAATAAAGAAGCCAGCTTTATTCATTTACATAACAAATAAAAGTGCAGTATTCTTTACTTTATAGTGCTTTTATTTACAGTATCTTAATGAAACCCAAAATCATTAAAGCTCCATAATAACGTTCACACAAATATAAGGAACTATAGCAAAAAATTCGTGGAATTAATATATTGATTAAAAATTATTTTTTTCGCCTAATTAAGTTTCATGATAAATGTGCATCCTACTACCCCTTAATTTGTCTTCTGATTGAACTTATAAGCAAGAAGAAAATTTTTATTCAAGATGCTTCATGACCTCGTCCATACCACCACCATTATAGACTCTAATCAAATTTTTCATCATAAGTTTCTAGTTGTACCATCTTTGGCCACTTATTTTATCACTAATTTTTTTTTACAGAGCTATCATAATTGCTCCAGGAATATTGTGGCTTGCGGCGACTAGCATTTGCCATAATTTAATTATATTTTTTTTACTATTTAGATTTGACGATAATAAAGAATTCGGTCTCGTTTATTCTGATTATTTTGTTAATTCAGAAAAACCAAAAAGTGTCGTTAATAAACAAGAGAATTCAGAAAAAAAGTTTAAATTCACAGGGAACTTAAATACAAAAAGATGCATGTGTAATTTTAGTAAATGACTTAGCTTTCAGTCCGACACATTATTTGTTATTACATATAGAAAATCCAAGTATTTTTATTATATATTTACTTTGATATTGCAGCTCAACATTAGAATATTTCTCTTAATTATTATTAGTTTCGAATACATGTAATTTAAATTATTTAATGTATTATATAGATTTATAGAATTAAGTCAAGAAGTACGGTATTGTTCATACTTCATAGTTAATTATTATCAGTTTTAATGACAAACTAGTATGACATCGATGTTCAATATATACTAATATTATTTATTTTTTATAGAGTTGTAGAATTAATGAAAATAATGTTAATATTTAGTAAAGTTTTCTTTTCTTTGAAAGTTTGAAAATTTAATGGTTAGTAACTAAAAAATAAATAGAAGTTTTCACCTTTAAACAAAAAATGTTAATAAATCCATGTATGTACTTTATTTATAAGATAAAAGTTATATAAATTCAAACTATATACTTATTAGAAATAATTTACTTGCTTAAGATGTAAAGCTGCGTAAAATAATCTTGCAACTGTCACATCTAACAAATATTAATTAATTGGTAATACTCTTATTCTCTTACACTCTCTGGATGACTTGGACGTACATTCGATCTTTTTATGTGTCGGTAAAACCGTAATAAACAAACGACATATAAAATGAGACTACAAATTATGATAATGTAAGGAATATATATGAATATTGTAAATTAATGGGGTCCATCATAAGCAATTCTTATCTAAAAAAATATTCCAGATAATGTTTAATTCAATTAATACAAATTATGTGATTTATAATTTCAGAATATTAGATTGTCTTTTTTTAAAAAACATTTGTTAATATTTTTTATTATAGAAATGGATTTGTTAATACAAGAGCCATTTACTATTTGAGCATAATTTTTATACTTTATTCGTTCTTAATTTTTTACGTCTCATCAAAGATTAGTAAGATTGGTACTATTTTTATTTTTTTTGAAAATATAGAAAAAAGATGTACATTACCAAAAAAAATTAAGTTCAGATAAAAAAAAATGTTACTTCGCATACTTCGTATTTACAAAATGTAGATCTCTTATGCAACCATCATTTCATCATTTTAACCATTTCGGGTTAGATTAGTTCTCTTTCTTTTATGATGATCAGCATCTGCTTACGGATTTTCTTTGTCACAAAATAGTAATTTTTGTATACAATAGTAGTACAAACAGTAATACAAATAAGTAATACAAAAGTACGCAATTTATTTGAACTTCGTTCAATTAATTTTTTTCTTTAGTTTATAATAATTCTGGAATTTTTTTCGAGTAACGTTATAATCTGTTTATATAACTAAAATTAAAATTATAATCCACAACTCAAATTAGTTAATATGGATGAAAAGCCAAACGATATATGGGAGGATACTGATGATAGTAAATATCAGGTAATAGCAATTTAATATTTTTAATAATTATAATTATTTTATTGAATTTTTGTAGTTAAAAATATTAATAATTTTTGTCTATTAAAAGTTGCATGTTACAATTTCTACTATTGATTCAACTATTAAACCAGAAAATGTAGATGAAAGTGTAGTTTATATAGAAGATTTAGAAAAAAGAAAACAAGCATATGGAATATGTGGAGAATGTAAAGAACCTGGTACAGGATATAAATGGTGTCAACCTTGTAATGCTAAAAGATTTAAAGATAACTTTAAAAATTGGACTAGTGGAAATAAAGATATTGATGAATTTATACAACAATCACAACTTAATGCTGTATATTTCAGAAACTGTCTTGAATGGGTACCTTTTGAAAAATTTCAAAATATTACTTATATTGCAGAAGGTGGTTTTGGTAAGATTTATTCAGCTGAATGGCCTGAAGGACATGTTGGTTATTGGGATATTGAAAATCAAAAATGGGATAGATTCAAAGGGTTTGATAAATATGCATTAAAAAGTTTGAATAATTCTTCTAATATATGTTCAGATTTTTTAAATGAGGTAATTTAAACTTACTTTGTCTTATATATAAAGATTTTTATTTTGCATTTATTTATTAATAAGATTTTTCCTTTTTGATGATAATTAGATTAAATCTCATCTTCAGATTTATCTTGTTGATATTGTTCAATGTTATGGAATTACTCAAGATCCAAATAATAAAGAGTATATGATGGTTTTTTTTTATTGTGAAAATGGAAATTTGAGAAATTATTTAAATAAATCAAATAATTATATTAATTATAAATCAAAAATTCATCAATTACAACAAATTGCAAGTGGACTTTTAGATATTCATAATGCTGAAAAAGTTCACAAAGATTTTCATTCAGGTAATATATTAATTGATGGTATTTATTCATTTATAAGTGATTTAGGAATGTGTCAATCAGCAAATAAGCAAAAAGTTAAAGAAGAAGGAATTTATGGAGTATTACCATATATGGCACCAGAAATTTTACGTGGATACCAATATACAAAAGCAGCAGATATTTACTCATTTGGAATAATAATGAACGAATTTCTTTCTGAAGAAATTCCTTTTAATGATATTCCTCATGATGATTTTTTAGCTATTAAAATTTGTAAAGGACTTAGACCAACAATTTCTACAGACATACCAAAATTATTTGCAGATTTAATAATAAAATGTTGGAATGCTGAAATAAAAAATAGACCAACCACAAAAGAATTGTATCAACTATTAAGGAAATGGCATGATGAAATTAAAGATATTGAATATAGTGATGATGAAGATATTGAAGATAGTGAAGAAATTAATGAAAATTGTGACAATAGTCAAAATAATGAAATATATTTTCAAATAAAAGAATGTGATAAAATTAGAAAAGAAAAATTCAAAAACAGATCAAATGAAGATAAATCCAAAAGCTTCAAAACACATCCACAAGCAATTTATACTAGTAGACTTTTAAATTTCAAAAATCTTCCAAAACCAGTAAATTCTTCAGATTTATCATCTTTTCAATTCAGTTCAGGTAATTATTAAATTTAATTTTCTTTATCATAGTCCATTTTACATTATTAATGTTATTTTATTTTTTTAATAGATACTAATTATACTGCTCAATCAACATCAACAAATCCAAGTAAGTATTCTACTAATTATTATTATTATAGTATAATTATTTTATTTTTACATTTGTTGATATTTATATACTATGAATATCATAATTTTAATTTACAGTTTCAGAATGCTTAGATGTTCAATTAAGTGAATTGGGTAAGTTATTATTTATTTGTAATTTTACTAATATTTCCTTTCTAATTTATCTAATCTATTTTTTTTTTTATAGAACTAAATGAAATTTGTCAAGATAGTGAACATAATATTGAATGAAGTATCTTTTATGTGAAAATTAGAGTCAAATAGTTTAAATTACTAGTTTGAATGTTGAAGTTAGTTTCATTTTTATTTTTCTTTCATTTATACTTTATAAATTTTTATCTTAGTTTTTTTATTTACAATTTTACATAGTATATCATATAGTACATGAAGATTTATTTGATTTTATATTTATGAATATTCTATATAAATAAATTTATTTTTTATAAAATATTTTTAATTATTAAAAAAATATATATGCAGAAAAAAAAAATGAAACAGTTAACAATTTTCTTTTGTTAAAAATATAAAATTCTAATAATTTTAAAATTTTGATAAAAAAATGTGATTGATCAAACAACCAGTGCAGTAGATTAATCACATGATCGATTATATACAATCAATTAAACGTAATCGAATTTTGTGAATTTTACTCGATCAAATCATTGATGATTGATCAATATATTTTGAGTCAATTAAAATACAATACTCTAATCCTAAACAAGTTTAGACCGGATCCATACATTGTTCAGGTAAATAGTATGTTTTGTTGCACTTAAAAACTTTACAATTCTTTGTAATTACGAAAATGAACGGATGAAATTAATTATTTTGATATATACTAGCTGTAGCCTGTTGCGCTGCAACAGGATTAAATGAGTTAAAATCAATATATAACAATAAAATTTTTGTTTTATATTTTATAGATAAATTAAATCTTATATAATATTAACATTTTTTTTTATTTTTAGGTAAAAAAATATACTTATCCTAACTAAAATCATGTAAAGCATATTTATTCAACAAAAAAAAAAAAAAATTTTATTTTGATTATATTGTAAATAATAAGAAAAAATTATTAAAATAGAAAATCACGCTTACCGTAGGACCGCAGCATCAATCCGATCACTGATCTAGATCTGAGCAGAGAAAAAAACCAGGATGAAAAGTATTATAAAATTCAGTTTTTAGAAAAAAATTGGAAAGAAAAATTATTAAAATATCAGTTTTAAAAAAAACTGTAATATTAAAAAAAAAAAAAATCCGGTCTAAGAAAAAAAGGCCGAAAAAAATATCGTTATTTGAAAAAAAAAGACCGAAAAAAATATTATTATTAAAAAAAAAGATCCAGTCTAAAAAAGACCAAAAAAAAAAAAAATACTATTAAAAAAAAGTGATCCGTCTAAAAATGAGACCAAAAAAAAGATTTTAAAATCAACGTTCTGATGGCCGATCGCATCATCCTAAAAATGTTAACGACTGATTATGGAACTAGTAATAGATAGTGTATACTTTATTGTATATATATTTTAATAAAGAAGTGCGTGTAACTAAAAAAAAAAATTAAATTGAAAGATTTTTTTTTGTTAATTAGCAAATAAAAAAAAAATATCATTATACGGAACTGTATTAGCAATGGTAATTGGCCATCGGAACGTACACATGACCCGGAAGCAATCAAATTATTTAAACCATAATAATTATATAGATCAGGTGCAGGAGAATCACACGTCGCGCAATTCCAAAATTATTTATACAGGATAATCTAAAACTCTCCGCTACACACGAATTTTTTGTTAATATAGATATTATTGATGCGAAGAGAATAAAAGAATCTAAGATATCCAAAAGAGAAGTGTCAGGCAAGATTAACATTATAATATTCATTCCCCATAGAGTTTTCATTACATAAATGGTGAAAAATGGGTATAGTACAAAGTATGTACTACGCAGAAGAATAAATTTTATCATTAATATAAACATACATACATAGATTACAAGGATTCAACTAAAGCAATAGGAAGTCTTGTGTTCCGAAAGGGTCAGGTCAAACCCGAGTTATTGACCCATATAATTAAAACCCGTGACAGGCGTGACATGCCTCCGCCTGATATACTTATGGTCAACAACTATTCGATCCGTGTGCATTCCAATCATACTAATCCAATTTCAGTTATCATAATAGGATTTTTTTTTTTGATTAACTTTTTTTGTCCGATTTTTTTTTAGTCCCTTTTTTTTAAAATTTTTCAAACCGAACAAATTTTTTCTCCCTTTTCTTTCACTTTAGTTTTTCTTTTCAACCCGAAAAATTTGTTTTTCTCATTCTTTTCCCGTTTAGGATTAATTTTTTTTCCCAAACTGAAAAAAATTTTTTTTTTTATTAAATAATCCCCATTGTTTCGGTCTTTTAAGACCAATTTTTTTTATATTATTTGTTTTCTTAGACCGTATTTTTATTATTGTTATTTTTTTTAAAAAAAATTTTTTTTTCACTTTTTTTGGATTGGATTATTATCTATTATTATCCTTTTTTTTCAGAATTTTTTTTCGTACTTATTTTTTTTTCGGATTCCTTTTTTTAAACTGATTTCTTTCTTATCCTTTTTCTTCCTCCCAATTTTTTTTAAAATTTTTTTTTCTTTTTCTTTTAATTTTTATTATTATTAAATAAAAAATAAAATATTATATTAAATATATTTACAAAATTATTATTTTTTTTAAAAAAAATCAATATAACATATCAGATATAGAAAAATTGACCGACGTTGATAGAAAGATGAGTAAGATTTTTTCAATTAAATTGAACGCTGGATAAATAGTTTGATTTCAAAATTCATAAAAATAAATTAATTAATTATAAAATATGTGAAAATATCAATTCTTTTTGAAGAAATTGTTGATTTAATAATAGATTATTATTATAACCAAATCCATATCCGAATTCCGAAATTCTCTAAATAACCACCAGATTTTTGAATAAGATTTCAATTAAATGGTTTAGTTAAATTAAATAATTTATCGAGTAAAATGAATAATAATAAATGAAATGAATAGATTCTAATACATTTAATTATTCAAATATTATTCCTAAGTTGGTTATAAGTTTAAGATTGACGTTAATATAAAATAAGAAATAATTATAAAATTTATAATTAATTAATAAAATATTTGTAGTATTTTCATATTATTAAAAGTTTTTTCGAAAATACTTCTAAAAAATTAATCAAAAAAATGAGGGTGAATGAAAAAATAGGGAGAGTAAAAGGGAAAGGGGGAGTGAAAGAAACAAAAGGAACGAAAAAGATCAAGTGGGAACTAATGAAAAAAAATGAAAAGAATGGAGGGGACGAAATAGAGCAAAGGAGAATAAAAAATAAAAGGAACAAAGGGTAGTGTAAAGAAACGGGAATGAAAAAAAATGAAAAGAACAAAGATAGTGTAAAGGAACGAAAAAGATGAAGTAGGAATGGAATAAAAATGAAAGGAACGAAGGGTAGTGTAAAGGAATGAAAAAGACGAAAGGAACGAAGAGGAAATAAAAAACAATGGAAAAATGAAGGAAGGGAAGAATAAAAAGAACAAAAGAAATGAAGAGACAAAAAGAAACCAAAAAAATGGAGAAGGGACGAAAATGAGATAAACAGGGGGACCAAGTAAAAACCAAACCCATAAAATTAAAAGAAGAAATAAAGTTAGTAGGGAACGGAAATTACATGTAATAAATAAAAAACAAAAAACATACCTTAGTAGTTACAAAGAACCGAAAGACCTAATTAAATTCCTAATTATAAATAAAAAACTACTGAATTTACTTAGTATTACATTATAATACTAAATTTTTCTATTTGAACAAACTCATTGGTCCCGGTGCGAAACAACGGGTGATTGTTAGTATATTTGATATGTAAATAAATATAAAGATTTTGTAACACAACATTTGTAGATCATTTGCACGGGTTTTGAAAATTCATTTTTTTTTAAAGAATCCATAAATTTTCAGATCCGTGAGGATTCTATGGTAATTTATGGATTCCTTAAGGAACTACATCTCAAATAATTTACTGACGTTTTAATTGTAATTTATAACACAAACATAATTTAAATCGCATAAAATAAATTTGTGGATAATTTTTTTCTTTAACACCAAATAAACATAAAATTTGTTTAATAAAATACTTTAATAAATATAACAAGATAATCTTGAAGCGTTTAACTTTACCAAATGATATTTATCTTTAGAATATCAGAAAACTCTTAGTTGAATTTCTTTCAAAAATATTATATTAATACATGTATTTGCAAATAAGAATATGATCAGTAAAATTGCGCTACGCTCAAAATATCACAGTTACTTGGCACTTTATGCCGAGTAACAAATAACAATTAAATAATTATAAAGGTATAATTAGAAAAAATATTATGTCGACAGTGAACTGGAACCTCTACTGGTCTGAGTACTGGACCTTCTCATTTAAATATGGCTGCTAGAACATACGGTAATTGAAATGTTTGATTGGAAAATTCACGTGATTTACGTAGGACCCCGAAATATATATGTAGAGGTCAGGTCCAGAAGTGGTCCAGGAAAAAAACTCTTTCCCCTTTTTCTTCATTTCGGTAATTTCCCGCAGTAATTTTGCGCAAGTTCATTTTTTTTAGTTTCTATTTGAAACAACCAAAGGGAAGAGGCCCTAAAGGGCGCCTCGGGCATAAGACGAGGTTTTATTGTTCTCATTATACCCATATTTAAGGGTTGGTCATGTCTTATTTTCCAAGAGCTGACGACTTTGCTCTTACACCCGGATACGACTATACACCTGCTGGTCCTGATGACTTCATTTTCAACCATGATACTTTACAAACAGTACCTCCTATTGATGACACTTTATCGGATACACCTTCATTTCATAACGACTTTGATGATATTAGGCCTTTCTCTTCGCCTAACAAAACTTATATTTTTTCTACAAAATACGAAAAGTTCTACGTGACTCCAAACCATAGAGCCGGTTATAACAAGATTTACAATTTTAGGCGCTCAAAAAGTTTCTTTTTTGAGCTGGTTGATCATTTACCAGACACCAATCAACTTCAATTGAAGATTTACACAAATGATTATCATATGTCCTCTAACCCGATTAATCAAGAATCCACAAGCAGACTCCCTAATTTCAAATTTCAAATATCAAAACAGCTCACACACTTTTTTTCAACACAAAAAGTTATTCCTCGAAGATTGCAAGAAAAATTTTTTACATATATTCGTAAAAAACTATTGGAGCGTTTGGATTTTATAAGATCACGTGCCCATAAAAAAGACAAAAACAATCACATGACTAAAACCTTTTTTAATTTTTCGTATAAGAAATATAGATTTTATTTCGGAATTTACCTCCCATGCAATCATACTCACACAGTAGGTTTACTTCCCAATACTACTGCGACTTGCTCCATTCCGGTCCCCTTTACAATGTCACATCATCGTCATGCCTGCATCATACACCATAAGAATCTAGTTCTATACTGTATCTCGAAGGACAATAAAATTCCTGACTATAGTCGTTGTAAAACATTCAAAGATTTTCACGCATCTCGCCTCTACAATAGATGGACTAATAAGAAATGTTCTCAGAATTTTTCGAACCGATTGGGAATTTCTTTCACCACATCATACTACGCATATAACACCAACGTCGTCGCTACAAAAGGATTTGACTTTATTTATGGCAAAAGTTATGGGAATTTTCAATTTACTCCCAGTTCTTCTTCAAAGGTCAAGAAAAGACAAGAAGCACGTTTTAATGCTCTGGTTAGACACACTTTTCATAACGCCAAGTTGGATGACAACGCGCTTACGGATGATAAACTTCAAGTGGCACGACATCACAAACTATTATTCCAAGAAAATCAAAGTTTTATAACTCCTATTAAACACCTTCGATACAAGAAAAGATTCGTCGTACCGTCAAAAGGTTATTATACCTTTCCGATCCCTTTTCACAAACCAAGGATTGTATCTGTACCTGCTTTTTTGGAACCGCCTTGCAACGCTAGCTCTGTTGCGTCCACATCATCTCAATATCCTCAACCCCCAATCAACACAAACATTTGGGAGAATGTACCTGAACACTATATTCCTTTGATCCCTCCATTTCCCGTTTACGAAGGTGGTCGATTGAATCAACCTTCTCGTTTAAAAATTCATACAAAACAACTACAACCACTAGCTGTTGGCAGCGCTGGCTGGTTAGCCCTCATGAAAGAAATTTATGATGATCACATATCAACGACAAAATATAATCAAGGTAAAATCGATGCTGGAATACAATGGGAAACTACCCCCGATCAAGGCGAATATCGGAGAAATCTTTGCAATGTTATAATGCAAGTAACGGACCACAAACATGCATATGAAAAGAAATTACTTGAAATTTCATCGTCAGTACCTCCTGAATTACCAATTGTAACTGGACCGATTAAAAACAGCGATCGCAAAAAACGCGAAAAGCGTCATTCACAATTATTAAAAGAATTTGAACGGAAAAAACAGGAAGATACCGATATCTTAGAGGACTTGCATGATTGGGTCATCAATGAGGAAAACATGATTTACAGGCAATACTATAGGAGTGATTATAGTCTGGCATATCAGCCTTGTGCTCTCATGGACGATTGACCGCTTAAACGAAACGCCAGAGATAATGGCAATTTAGATACTCATTATAGCTATCATATAGATAAAAAGGTTTGTATAATATCCGTGTCAAAGGATTCAGAAAACAGTTCCTCTACTCGTACTATTTAAGTACTTACTAGTTACTTTAATATAACCCTTATACATATAATAGTTTCTTTATGTACATGCTTTTTAGCATTCTTGTTTTTTTTTTACGTTAGATTTTTCACAACTTAAAACAGTGTAAACCATTCCACCTCTTACAGTATTTACAGGTGGCAACCCTTGTGGTTGAAAGAAAAATACGGATTTTTGCTTGTCAATAAATTGAATTTTGCTATTTATAATGTGTAGATTGCCACAACTTCTTAATATTTTGTTAGTGCCCTTTATCATTTTCTTTCTTTCGGTTCATTGGTTCCTTTCTGGTAGGGGAGGGGATCATCCTGGTTCGTTGGATTTAAAGAAGTTCGGGTCCGTCCTAGGGGGGATGATAGCTAGAAGTAGGATAGCACGGTTACGTATATGTCCTGTTAATAGTCTGTCCGTCTTCACATAAAATAAATAAATAAATAAATATCCAGAAGTGGTCCAAAATACGCATTCTTTCAGGGCCGGAATTACGATAATTTCAGCCATTATCTAAATTAGGAAATATTATTTTGGCTGGGATTATCCATAAAAGGAATGATCTACATGATTTTTTTGACTCATTATACGCAAACTCTGACCTGACCCTTTTATGTATATTTCGGGGTCCTATTTACGTGATAATAAATGTATCTGCACTTGATTATTCAGAAACATTATAATTAATTGTACGTATTTTAACTCTATCGTCAAAATTATACGTTAGGATGATCATCAAATCTTCATGCGGTAATACATCATACATCATCATTACAATTTTATAACACGGGTAGGGAAAAAATAACCAAAAGAAAAACTGATTTTTTGTGTAATAATTAATGTGAAAATAGTTTAGTTTAGTTTCTTTTACGTACAATACACCAGGAATACAATTCCGTAAACCAACCAAATACGGTAAGCTCAGCAGCCGACTACGCCATACAATGAAAAAAATTTTGATTTTAATGCCTTAAAAATAAACAAGCCTAATACCAAAACGGGTTCATTATATTTACCTTCGGAATAGATCCGATATATATATATTTTTTTTATAGTTTGAACTTTTGAAATCAGAATTCGATCTAATATTCTTTTCCTATTTAGGATAAATTGAAAATGAAGGATTTTGATATTCTTAAGAAAGCAACGACTAAAATTATAATGTTGGATCGAATTCCAAGAAAGTTCGGAGGAACGCCTAAATTATAATAATGTTGGATCGAATTCCAAGAAAAAGTTCGGAACAAATAGAAATCTTAAATAAAAAATCATAAAAGGATTGAATTTCTTGGAAAATTCAAAATAAAAATTAAAATATAAGTTTTTTAAAAAAGAATTCTCCTATAATTAATAATCACCAAACTACCTTTAAATAATTTTTTAAAATGAATCATATTAATAATATCAATGTGTTTTGCGATAGCTTTCGGGAAGGGAATATGATCCTTTACAAACATTATAACGACAATAACAGCACGGTATTTCGATTCCGAAACAAGCATACATTGGGGCGTGGACTCGGGGGTTAGAAAATGGGGTCTTCTTCCCAAATTTGATGTCTCTAATATCTACGCTTTAGTCATCAAAGTTCAAGATAAAAACGTAGAAGCATGCACATTACTACAGTACTAGAAAATTACGAAATTCCCGCTCAACAAATGATTCAAGATAATGAAAAGTCAGTGAAAGGTGAAAATTTTATCAATTTTCTTAAACAAATGGAATTTTACGTGAAAAGAGAGGAGCATACCTTTTTTACGTCATATTTGGTAACTATTAAAAAGTCTCCTGATAAACCAAAACACGAATCCTTGGAAATATTGTATCATAATAAAATTGGCTCTTTTGGTACCACAATTGCGCAAACTATTGCTTTAAGCGTAGTGTTTCGATCCGGGCAGAAACCGTCATCCGGATAAATTAAAAAAAATATCCGGTTTCTATCCGGATTATCCGACTCGGATAAAAATCCGGATATATCCAGATAGAAACCGAAACCCGGATAAAATTAACAAAATTTTTTTTTACTATAGATCATTTTTATTAAATAAAATTCGTGGCATTCATTTAATTTAATATATGGCATTTAATTAATTTAATATGTAACATTTATTTAATTAAATTCGTGGCAATTATTAAATTCAAATGTGGCATTATTTAATTAAATTAGTGTATTTTTTACTTAAATATGTGGCTTTTATTTGATTAAATTCATGATTTATTTGATTAAATCTGTGGCTTTAATTTGTGGCTTTATTGAACTAAATTCGTGGCATTTATTAAATTTATAACAATTAAATTTCACGGGATTCTTGTAAAAATTTATTAATCAATTTATAGCATTTATCCTTTATTTATTAAATTTAAATTACAGTTAATCTAGTCCTAAATAACCAAAATAAATAAATACTGTATAATATTAACTATATTATATAATTAAATGCTGAACTATATAAATTTAATAATAAATGCCGCGAATTTAATATTTTATATTCAAATTATGCGATATAATTTAAAATTATTTCCTTGTAGTTAATGAATAATTCCCTATAAAAAAATTGGATACGTTTTTTATAAAGTTTTTATACGATTTTTTTCCTTAGAAATAACGTATCATAATAGGATACGGAAAAATGCACAATTCCGTATCACTAAAAATATGGTTTGGATACGGAATTTGCACGGAATTCATACGGAATTTACATGATTTGATCACTGATTTTATCACGAAATTTATACGATTTGGTCACTGAATTTACTATTTGTATTACAGTTTACTATAATTATATTTACATAAATCTAATTTTACTTTATTAAATTAAATATAAAATAAAAAATAAACAAAATACA